CTCGTAACTTAGTTTCAAATACTTTTACTGAGCTGTGGAGGGGTGTGATTCGACACATTTTTATAAATCTCACTATTGAAGCAATTGTAATAAATTATTAATGATTCTCTTATCGAGTTGAATTGTGAGCCGGTATATAATCATCCTAGTATTTAACTCGAAGCGACTAGGTGAACTACATATTGAGCCTGTATAAGAAAAAGGAAAGAAATGTGTAAAAATCGTAAGTCAATATACTAGAGAGGCCCACCAGTGGCTGAGCGGTAAAAGCCGCTGAACACTGGTAGTTCGGTCCGAGGTTCGAGTTCCAGCGAACAGGCTAGTTGAATGGCCATTTTCGTGGTTTTTCCGATGTATAATGTGTATACGAGCCAGTTTCCCTTAAAAAGATCTCTACGTGGCATCCCTTCCTTTCCGTGTAGTGCATAAGGGCGGAGCACGTAATAAGTAGAAAAAAAATCCTAGAGAGCGCATATATTTCAAGGGGAAAAAACAACCTGATGTGGATACCATATGACTTCCTTGCCTGGCCTATTAAGTTATAAAATTCTTTTACTGCATTTCATTTAAACTTATTTCCTCAATTTAAACGCATTTCCTCTTACTTCCTCAATTTAATTAACAGATTCCTCGAGGCAAGTTGAAAAATGACATGAAAATTGTAAAGTTTGAAATTAAATTTTCCGCTCAGCTCTTGTCATACGGGAATCAATCTTCTTATAATTTCAAGGTTTTCATAACGGATATAAAACTTTCCCAAATATAAGTCTAGAAACCAGGAGATCGCATTAAAAGTTAGATTTCGTTATTTTTCGAAAATTAATTATTTTTAAATTTTATAGTGCCAAAACATGAATGTTTTCGTCATTTAAAGCACTTCTGGAATTGGAAGTAAATGCATTTGGTACTGCCAATTGCAATAAAGACGGAGGTGCACAACTAGATGTTATAGATGTTGTAGCAATCCTCCATACACAAAATTTCAACGTTCTACGGCTAATCGCTTTTGAGTTATACTAGGTATACTGCGCAGGGAAATAAAAGGAAATTTCTATATCTCCCCTTCTGGGACGGTTGATGAAATTCAAATTGCGTTTTTCATGTCTCGAAAGCGCGACTTAGGATATGTATTAGATTCATATATAACATTGTTCTAACATATGTATTGTGACACAAAATGGGACTTTTTCTGAAAGTCTAATACATTTTTTCCATGTTTTGATTCTACGACTCATTATGCCTAAATATTAAATTTTTTTTAAATTTATTTCGAAATTTACAGAGAAATTCAAAAATGTATCTTGCGCAATTTTTTCAGTTTGCACCGAGAATAATTCACTTGGCGAACTTCTTAATATCAACCTATTTTCCTTTCCTTTCTATTATGCAGGAAGGAAAAAATGTCACATCTTTCCCTACCTTTTTACATTTTGCATGACCGGGAAAAAAGTCACAATGCTCCTTTCAAATAATTTTTACAAAGGGCCTAAACCACATTTTATAATATTATCGCTTTAAACAAATATGCCAAATTTCAAAACGCGTCCTATATAAGTTCACGTATATTTTCGGAAATTTCGAATAAGAAACTGTAACTTTTTGCAGGTATGCTTAAAAATACGTCTACTTTTAGTACATTTACTACATTTTAGTACGTGTGTTCATTGATTTTTGGATAATCGTCAAAAATTTTTATACAAGTAGTTTCAAAGTTTTGAAATGAATCTCATGTTTACCACTCGTATTCATCTGTAATAAACTGCGTTTATATTAAGAAATGTCCTCTCTTTTGATTCGAAAATTGCTTCCTTTATAACATTTCCTCTAAATCTGGAAGGTTTATCCCACTTTTGACAGCATAATCATCATTCTTAATACACAATCGACAAGTAATTAATTTAAAGCCGATGAATAATCATAACAAGTCTGAATTATTTTTGAAAGCATAATGTCTGTCGTGAGTTAAAACAGTTTTACTAATGGTTTAGAACAAAGTATTCTTTTACAAACTGTATTTTCTTTTTCTAATGTAATCTTATAAAAATAATACTTCCCAGGTTTCAGTGTCCACTACACAACTTATCAAGTAAAATTAAAGATGGAAGTTAGAAGAATTCATTTACCTCTTCCAAGGGTTTATGGGAAGAAACAGATTTAACATGATTATATTATTGAAGATTTTGTTGTTTACTCTAGTAAATTTGAAGCAAGCGCGAAGCAGGTTAAGAGATGATGCAAATTGTTAAAATGAGCAAACTTAAACTTGAAGGGGGGGAGGAAGAAGAAGAAGAAAGGTCTTATTTTGTATTTTATTTGTTTGAAATTTTTCTTGATTTTTGAAATATCATGCCACCTGTCAAGAATGGGATTTATTGCTTATCATCATTAAAATTATTATTTCACTTTCAATTTCAGAACCACTAAAAATGTGATAGTTTTATATTCTATCGTTTTGTGTACAAGAAATAATTTCATAACGTGATATTTTCAATTAAATTATTTAATTTCTTCATTACATATAGAAAACATCAGAATACTTTTTTGCCCTATCCCCGAAAGTGTTCAGTTTAGTTCATTTGAAATAAAAAGGACATTTCTGCTTAGTGTAAATGAATATTTCTCTTTCTTTAATTAAATTAGAAATTTGATTTTCTCTACTTAGAGAGAGAAACAAAAAATCACCTACTCCAGAATTAACTTTCGCGTTATACTTAATTTCCAACTTTACTTGAAAGCCTATTTCATTAAGACACCTTTCACTAATAGAACAATCTGTTACCATAACTTTTCCATCATTCCGATGTCTTGCTTCCCCAATGTATCACCCCTTCCCCACTTCCCATTGTCCGGAAATGGAGTGCCCGGCAGTTGTCAGGGAGGGAGAGCAGCTATCCATTCCGTTTAAGTGACCAGCCACACGCGATATCCAGTGTCCCTCTACCAAGACACGTGTCATCGTGCACCTTTCTAGATGAGCTGCCTTTTCTTCTTTCTTTCATTGTCTCTTTATTTATCTTTTTCCTATTAATGCCATGTTTCATGTTCTTCCGTGGAATAAATAGCTGACACGTCTTTCGCGTGCCATCGAATGGTCTGCTACAGAGATGAGTTGAGGACACAGCGTTTTCTCGTAACCTGGACGTCGATTGGGATGTCTGATCGCTTCCAGAAACAAGGATTAGAAGAAGAATTTCCCTTTACCTTCTCGTGTAGTGCAAGAAATTGTTCTTCGAAACATGGCTTTCGTGTTCTTACTAAATGTTGGGTAATAATACATTAGGGAGTAATATTTAACAAGGAAATATTTTGTCGGATTTAAAGAGCAGATTATGCTGTGGTTGCCAATTGATGTTTCAGATAAATGGATTAGGTGTCAAAATGGTTTGCGTAATTCTGAAACGTTATTTATTTGCCTTATTTTCTGTAAGATTAGAGGATCTCTTTTTAAAAAAAAATATCGGATTATCTCGCGTGACTCACGTAGGAGGTTTCGTTTACCATAGCTTAAAAGAAAGCTATGCGATTTGAAAGAAGAAAGAATTATGATATATTTCAGGAAATACTGTTAACAAACTACTTTTGTTTCTTTTAGTAACTAATGTCAAATTCAGTTGTTGTGGATACACATCCGTTGCCAAGTTTTCCCACATATTTTTATCGCTCTTAATTTGAATCTTGGTATATTCGCAATATAGCAGGTAAAAACTCTAACACCTGTAACATTCGCAATATAGTAGGTAAAAGTCTAACATCTAACGTCGTTTCTATTTAATATATAATATTATTGATATAGTATTAATATTATAATATTATATATTATAATATTATATATTATAATATTATATATACTATTATCCAAAAACATGTATGTTACTGATAATAATATGTAATATTATTGATAACAGAAAACAAATATTACAGCTGGGCCCGAATAAATGTGGTTAAACGCCGCCGTTTGCAATCGTACTGAACTGCAACCGAAAATTCTTGATATTCTTTAATAGGGAGTTGTTTATTATTGTAGCTTCTAGCTGATACTTACGCTAAATCTGTAGTACACTGCTGTTATTTCCATTCAAAATAATTCCAACGCTACTGATGTGATTTATATTTTTTAATCTGCTAATCGGTTTTTCTAATATAACAATATGCTATTTATAAATGCAATGAAAAATTTTACAAACTATTAAATGGATGAAATGTTTGAGAAATACATATTTTTAAATTCGTGATATTCATATTTGTTACATTTATTCTGATAATAGTCTTTTTTGATTATTTGCATAATGGTCCTGATAATTCATTGTATATATATGTTATAAAATATTAAGTACATGAAAATATTTGATTATATGCATCTTTCCAAATTCACAGGAAAAATTCAAAAGCCTGAAACAGCTTGAAATAAAGAAAATAGGGTAAATAAGAATTTCGATCGCTGAGATATAATCCGAAATTTTCTGATGCAAAATTTGAAAACACCTCAAAAATAAAACGGAAGATTTTTTTTTCTTTCATTCATTACTTACAATATCTGTCTATATTTCCAATACAATAAGCACATCAATGGCTGAATAACTGAGACTACTGAATACTGCTAATTCGACTGAATTCCCAGTGAAAGTATTTTCTTAATGGTAATTTCGGGGTTTTCGCCATGTATAATGTGAATACGAGCTGGTTTCATTTAAAAGTCCTCCATCAAGGCATCCATATCTTGCAGGCAGCCCTCGTATCCTTTGCTTAACAACAATCTAGTTTCAGTTCAATACACTTTGCATTAATGTGTCTTGTCTTTATCTAGAACAGAATTATAAATACATTTCCAAAAAATTTAATTTTTCTGATTTTGTACAGTGTTATAAATTATGTATTATATTATAAATGCATGATGTTATGTGCTGTTGTTTAATGTAAACATATAATTTAAAGTTAAAAGTTGACATTTTTTTCCAAATTAGTTCTATACCTGTTGCTGATTTTCTCGTTTTTTCCCCCAGATCTCTAAAGGCATTCCAGTCATTCCCCATCCACGATGGGGTCTCTGTTATCCTCCTCAACGCTGAGAGATCACTAACCTTTGTCGAACTTTCCTACAAAAAAGTAAAAGGAAAAGAAAATAAAAAGCGAAAAGCACCCACGAGATCACCCCTAACCTTCCGACGATGCTTCCAACCCAGAGGTCGAGCCGAATCCTCATCGGATCACGGTGGCTGGTACATCCAGGTTTCCTCTTCCTCCTGCTCTCTCTGTCCATGACATCACTGATTGGCGGAGATGATGGGCCTTGGCAGAACGGAATCCAGCCTCACATCAGGGTATCGCAACTTGGTAAGTCACGATTTCAATTTGAAGTTCTGTGGGTTCCTTGGACTTTGTTCAATAAACAACAAGATCCATTCCCCCCGAGGTTTGCGAAGGATAATATCTGTCACTGTCCTTTTCTCTCGGGAAGGAAACAAAAACAATACAAAATTCCATTTTCGAAATCCATTTAGATGCTTCTTTTCGAGGTCTGTTTAAGGTTTTCTTCCATTCTATTTTCCCACGCTACTAGTAGCACCGTCGCAGGAAAATCGAATCTTTCCCATACCTAGAAAATTTATAAATGTTGGCTGAATTTCAGGAAGTTTTCCTGTGCATTCCAAGAGATTTATACCAAGTAATGCTCTCTTTCTATTTTACTCACATTACTAAATAACGTATAGGCAGGAAAAGGTTTTAGTAAATAGATGACATTTCTGTCTGTTGAACCAGTTGCAAGAAATTAACTAAAATATGTATAATATTAGCATTTTAAGATAAGCATTCTCTCTTTTATTTTAAATTTATCGCCCACCAGTGGCCGAGCGGTAAAGACGCTGAACACTGGTAGTTCGGTGCGAGGTTCGAATCCCGCGAACGGGCTGGCTGCATGGGCGTTTTCGTGGTTTTCCCCATGTGTAACGTGTATACGAGCCAGTTTCTCTTAGAAAGTCCTCCACGAAAGGCATCCCTCCCCTTAGGCAGATAGCCCTAGTGCGCTTTGCCATAATTAAATACACCACACCATTATTTTAAATTTAATTAGCGAATTTATTAAGTCAAAAATGTTTGCTACAATGTTTTTTTTTTTTTTTTTAATTAGATCACAGATTTATGAGCGCATATTTGAAAACCGTTGCAAATGTGGTACTCATTTGCACTTTGTCGGTTATGCTACGATTATAAGAAGTAAAAGGAAGCTATTAACTACGAAAATACTTTTTACTTTATATAAATAAAAGACAAGCCTGTATTATTACCGTATTATGTAGTTGCGTTTAATTAGAGAATCCATTTTCTTGAAGCGGAGAGCTCTTTTTACTGATTTTTGGCCCATTATTTTACAATTATGCTTCATTCGATGTCTAAAACTTTCAAATCGTATTAGAACAAGTCTGCACGCAAAGAGCAGAAGCATGTATTACTATATACGTTCGTCAACTAAACTATTCGTAAACTGAAACAATTTTCTGTATTAAAATTAACTTCAAATCTGTTAATTCGTTCCTAGATCACAGATGATTTAAATTTTACAGCGGTATTCTCCACAAGTTCATAACCCTAAATAGAAACCAGCGTACCTACCAATAGAAATCATTAAATATATAAAAAAACAATAGAAATAATTAAATATATATAAAAAAAAGATAAACACCATGTTAAACAGCTAAAACAGATGAACAGATGAAAATGTATACATAACATATAAAACAAGTGAAACAGATGAATCTTTAGTGAAAGTGTTTAAAAAGGAGAGTGCACGAATAAGATGGCATAAGTGGAAAATGATGAGGAAGATGTTATTGTTCGGATGGAAAATTTCCTTTTATAAGAACATCAGATAACTCTATTTAAGGCGGAGCATTTTCTTTCATCGTTTCTTCGTCTCTAATAACTAGGTCTCCTCTTTAACCGAACTTTGTTCATTGTGATTTGTTTTTGTCTACGTTTCAGAATGTTTCTGAAATGAAACATGGCATTCTCAATGAAATTGCTTATGTTGTTGCTTGCTATTCCTTTATTAGAGTGATATTGCTACGTAAAAATTTTGCATTTTCACCCATTTTGCGCAAATTTCGAGGATCAGTCAGACAACTAGGATATTTTTCTTTCTTTCTTCTTTTTCTGAAGATATCCACAGATTTTCCACAATCACTTTTTTTTTGCTACTTTAGAAGCTGTTGTAATTCTTTCTTGTTGAACTCATTTCTCTGGTCTTCTAGTAACTTCTTCACGCCTTCGTTGTCAATTTCCTAGCTCATGGTTTTGTTTTGAGACACGCAATATCATAAATATAAAAAGAAAACGTAAAAGGCTCTAAATTTCAAAGCGTTGAATGTCTCTGCCTGCAATCTATTCTGGCCATAATTTCTTCCAGCCCTAAATTATCGTTCTGTAAGTCACTTACAGCCAGGCTTTGTTAATGAGAGTCAAACACTGAAAGCTATTAAAATGACTTTTCCAGACGGTTCTGCTTGTTGATTATGTGGCAGAGGTTAGCTCAAAATGACTTTGAAAATCAAGTTGCCGATCTGAATTTTCGTATCCTGAGAAACTTTTCATGATCCGAGGCGTTTTTGATTTAGATAATTTGTTCGTGAAAGGAGGTGTTCATAGAGGTTCCACTGAATTGAAAATGCTAGCAATCAACCCCGTTGTGCAAAAATATGCATTAAGCTCTGAAAACGATTTAATATTTTTTCACATTTATATTTAAGGATCTAACAGCATTAGAATGATCTTTCTGAGATTAAATTTTTTGTTTTTTAATTATTGTTCGTCACTGAATCCTTGAAGCAATTTATTATAAGGAAAATTAAATTCAGAAAATTGGAAATTTGTCGGAACATATTGTATCATCAGTACTTCGATTTGCGTTTTATGCTGGAATGGTAGCAAAATTGTCTAGTAATCAGTCATAAATGTCTGCATTTTGCATTTTTTTGTCTTATGAAAAGCTAAAAATGGCCAATAAGTATTTTCCAGTGTTCTGTTATATTTTGTTTTGAGCTTTGGGTTCTCATTTGAAATTCAGAAAGTTGGATTAGAAAAACTAGTAGTAAAAATATCACCTGGTATGTATTATACAAAATATGGTATGTATCTATACATAAAATCTATACAAAACTTAATAATAGTTTTACGACGAGAGATATGAGGATATGCATACCAAAACCTAAAAAATAATAATTAAAATAAAATTTCTATTTCGTGCATTTAAATTCAATGAAAACACAAATTCACAACAGTTTAAAAAAATTGTGCACGTATATCTCTTTGCATGGTATTCACATAAAATTGATCAAAAAAGCAAATCAGACCCTTTAGACAATAATAACTTTAAGACACCCTTAAGACAAAATAATAACGTACGCAGTCTGACTTTTTCCCCTGTAAGTTGCGGTTACAATTTACTGCCATGAAGTATAAAAAGGAATTGGCTCAAAAATATAATTCATAGCACGACTCTGTTACTATTTTGCGAGACAATATGGGTATTTCAACCACTGACTTTTAGAAAATGTTAATTTCTTTTCGAGGAGAAATAAGATTACATATTTGGCAACAACAATTTAAAAAAGCATATCGTGAATATAGTATTAGTTTTTTACATGCAAGTATGATATTTTTTTTCAAAGACACGTGAAAAAATACTGTACAAAATGGTGTTATATATAATGTCTAGTTAAAGCCAAAAATAATATGATTATTGCGATATCATCATAAGAAATTCGATACTTTTCCTTTTGTAGCGGCCTTGGCGACAGAAAGCGGCGTTGGCGCAGTTCCGGCTTAATAAAGTAGGATGTTGTTGCTAAATGTTGTAAGCACGCACAAAATGAAATTAACCGCGATAAACGATAATTCATTCAATATCTACACAATACAAATTGTTTAATATATAATACGTACAAAATAAATTTTATATAAATTTGTTATTTATTATAGAATTTTATATAATTTTGGAACAATTTTTTTAAAATAACAACATAATTTAACAGAACATATTTAATATAGACATTAATTATCGTATTATTGTATAAGCATGATTTAAAATAACAATATACGAAAACTTGCCGGAAAATTCTACGTCTTATGAAATAGACCGGAAGATTCTACTTATTCTTTTATTTATTTTTAGTAAAATTTAATATAAATATACATACGTACCGAAAACCTAATTTCTTTTAGACTCTTTGTTCTTGTCACAGTTTAGCCAGTTGTTGCTAATAATACCTCAAACATCAATACAGCGTCTTTTTCCGTTCATAGGATATTGAAAATAGTAAGCATAATAAATATTTTACAGTGAAAAAGTGCTATATTGATACAATGCAAATGCGAAATACTAGTTTAGTTGTTTAACCGTTTATTTCTTACAAATGCGCCAAGTCGATAACTGTTTATTTCTCGCACATGCGCAGACCTGTAATCGTTTGTTTCTAGCTAATGCAGAAACTCGTCAAATCAACATTCTTGCCAAGGCCGCTCGAGAAGTACCAAGAATTTACAGTTGCAAATTTTAATCGTTAGCTTTGTATAAAAATCACAGATAGTCTCCAGGAAGATGGAGAACAATATTAAGAATTTCGAAACTTGACTTTTAATTATTTGTGTCATGTTTTCCTGCTTTTGACAAATCAGCTGATGAAGTCTAAAGTTTGTTAATCAGAAGACTATGTTTTATGTAACTGGTTCAAGTATTTTACGGTGTAATATGCGATGTTAAATTAACCCTGTACCCCTATTTTTCCTGCGACGCTTCACTTTCTGACTCTTTCCATAACAACTTGTACAAGAGGTAATATAATTTAAGTATAATTTCCGAAAATTACTCACATGTGTACAAAATTCGTAGCAATATAAGAGAAAGATAGATTGAATTTTTTTTTCCATGATTATTTTTTCTTTACGTAGTATAAACTACAGTGTCGCAAGCATATTACTGATTAAATAAACTAAACAAAATGGTTTAGTGTTCGGAGAAGAAGATAACGATCGATGTCATAATAAATGGACGCACTATTAATTTTGTTGTTCCCATTCCTTTCCCGACCTCTGACGCAATTTGCTTGTCACGGGCATTGTCCTCCAGAAGTGGTAGAACGATGAAACACAGGTCTGCCTTGTTTCTCAGGCCTCCAGTAGATTTAAGCCAGTATCGCAGACTGTAGGTAACCCTCAGGTGAAGTCTGCGATTGCAGACATTCGTTGATATGCTGTGCAAGCTTTTTCTTACGTCGTGACAACTGAACGTCTGGAAACTGGAGGTCAGTGGGCTTCCATCACAGAAGTTTCATCGCAGT